TGGGCGTAGAGTGCTCTGGCCAAAGTAAATAAAACGGCTATTTGCTCCTCCCTGCATATCTTCGCTGATAAAAATGACGTGTGGCCACGGAGGGATGGGGGGAATGACCACGTCTTTGAAAACAGAAACAAGGGGCCCAGCAGCACCATTCACATCAGCACAGTAACCTTATAGAATCCTAGAATCGTTTAGGTTGGAAAAGACCTTTAAGATCACCCAGTCCAACCATTAACCTAACACTACCAAGTCCACCACTAAACCAATTAAGGGCAGAGTCATAATTAATTGCATGTTTCCCAGCCTGGTGGCTGGATTAGTTTTTAATGAAAGTAAAACTAGAACAGAATCATTAAGGTAGGAAAGGAGTTCTCAGATCATCAGTCCAACCACCAACCCAACACCACCATGCCCACTAAACCATGTCCCAGAGTGCCACCTCTGCCCATTTTTTGAACCCCTCCAGGGATGGGGACTCCCCCACCTCTCTGGGCAGCCTGTTCCAATGCTTGACTGCCCTTTCCGTGAAGAAATTCCTCCTAATATCCAACCTAAACCTCCCCTGGCGCAGCTTGAGCCCATTTCCTCTCATCCTATCGCTGGTTACTTGGGAGAAGAGCCCAACACCCCCCTCACTTGTCCACGTCTTCGCGTGCAGAGAGCTTCACGTGCGGGACCGTGCCCCCCCACCCCAGCATAGGCAACACGATGCAGGAATAACTGCACGGCTTCTGTATAGTTTCTCACTGCTTTACTGACTCAGGCTCACGTGTGGCTGAGCAGTGTAGGAGGCAGAGCTGCCTTTGGCAGCTTTCTCGTTTCTTTTACTTTTCCATCATTTTGTGTAGAGCCTTGTGGTAACACCACTTCTTCTGGTTTGCTGTCACCCAGGTTTGACCTGAAAACGTTGCCGGTGGACTTTGTTGAATGCCTCATGCGGTTCCTGCCCACTGAGAACGAAGTGAAAGTGCTGCGGCTCTACGAGCGGGAAAGGAAACCCATCGAGAACCTGTCCGACGAAGACCGGTTCATGATGCAGTTCAGCAAGATTGAGAGGCTGATGCAGAAGATGACCATCATGGCGTTTATAGGCAACTTTGCAGAAAGCATCCAGATGCTGACCCCGGTGAGTGAGGGACAACCTGCAGGGACACGGGGGGATGCATTGGCTGTGCGGGGATCAGGGCTCCCCGGGGGTTCAGGCTCCCCTTGGGAGCTGCGCTCTGCGGTGCCGGTCAGCTTGCGGGGAGCATTGCAGTCATGCGAAGGTGTGGGCCAGTCGGTGAAGGTTACAGAGATTTTAATTTTTCTAAGACAGAGAGATGGTTTGAGTGTTGTGGAGCGATGATCGGTTCTCACGGAGCCAGAACAAGAAACAATTATACAAATGAAAAAGTGGTTTTCAAGCTGTGTTTTCATGTATCGATGACTCTGGTACCCCAGGTCCTCTTTGTACCCTGGAGTGCTCCATGCTGTCCTATTTCTTTACCCTGTACAAGTTTAAAAACAGTTTAAATGAAAATCTAGTTGTTTGTATCATCAGGGAAAGTTATTATTGGTGCTGGTCCGTGGGCTCTTTGAAGTGTGTTCCCTTCAGCCTGATGCATCTTTCACAGTCATGAGGATTGAAATGTAAATACACTTTTACCCAACCACATCTGAGCGTGGTGAATCTGCGGCGCAAACAAATGTTTGAAATCCTGACGTGTCAGGGCAGGGTAACGTTCATGCTAGGGCCCACGGTATGGATGAAAAACAAGAGGTTTTTTTCAGAATGCGAGTGTTTAGATTTTAATTTTACTCTTGGGTTGGACGTGCATTAACCAAAGCTCTTCTGTGTTTACCTGCAGCAACTTCACGCAATAATAGCTGCGTCTGTCTCAATAAAGTCATCCCAAAAGCTTAAGAAAATACTGGAGGTAGGTCTGATTTTAGATACGTTCAATAGCTCCATCGCTCACCGGTGCGTCCCCTTACATACACTGAAACCGTACCTGGATGCTGACACACCAACTCTCTTGCTGGCGGTTTCTAAAGCGCCGGGTGTTTGTCCTGAAAATTCATGCTCTGCTCTGTTTCGTCCTGGCAGATAATTTTGGCTCTTGGAAACTACATGAACAGCAGTAAGCGAGGAGCTGTGTATGGATTTAAGCTACAGAGTTTAGACCTGGTAGGTAAAGCGGAGGTGCCTTGCGGGGCCCAGGAGGGAATGCGTTCCGTGTACACGGCGAGCGGCTGCCGGGGAGCTCGGTCGGTGCTTTCCAGCCGGCGAAGGCGGAGAGCGGCAGCGGGGCAGGCGCTCCCTGCCAGGCGGTGTGAGTTTGCTTTGCTTATCGTTGTTTCGGGGGGCCGCTTAGGAGAAGGCACGTGTCTTCAGAGGCTCTGCAGACCACAGCTTGAAAACCACCTGCTCAACACTTAAATGAGCTTTTTTACAGCCGCCCCTATCAGATGGAGAAACCCCGGGGAAAGGCGAGCACCGGTTGAGTCACTTTGCCTGGAGCCTGCTGCACCTCCACCCAGCAATCTCTCTGCCTTCTCTCCCCAGCTCCTAGAAACAAAGTCAACAGACCGAAAGCAGACCCTGCTGCACTATATTTCAAATGTGGTCAAGGAGAAGTACCAGCACGTATCCCTCTTTTACAACGAACTTCATTACGTGGAGAAGGCTGCTGCAGGTACCGTCACCCTCCTGTGCCTGGCCAGCAAGGTGGACTTCACGGCACACCGCACCGTGGGCTGCGGGGGCACTCCTCGGTGGGGAATTGTTCAAGCTGTGGGTTCGCGTGCTTGCGCAGCCGGAGCGATGCATCGGTTTCGTTTTGTTTCCTAGTGTCTCTTGAAAACGTCCTCTTGGACGTGAAGGAGCTGCAGAGGGGCCTGGATCTGACGAAGCGTGAGTACACCATGCATGACCACAACACGATGCTGAAGGAGTTCATTCAGAACAACGAAGGGAAGCTAAAGAAACTGCAGGACGACGCCAAAATAGCCCAGGTATTTCATTCGGGGGGTTTGGTGAGGGGGTGTGAGTGACACGGTGAATAGCAGCATGTCACTGCAAAGGACGTGCTGTTGTATACACAGCAGGCAGGAGAAGGTGCAGCGGTGCTGTGGGTTTGTGCCTGAGTTCAAGTGCTAGATGTAGACGTGCGGGTCTGAGCCGAGGATTTCGCCTGCAGAGGCAATCTAGACCCTTTACACCGAATACTGCAGTAATGGATGGTGAGTTTATCTTAAAATACGTGCAACGCAGTAAAGCTGTGCTTTTTGTAGGATGCCTTTGATGATGCTGTGAAGTACTTCGGGGAGAATCCCAAGACGACACCCCCCTCGGTCTTTTTCCCAGTGTTTGTCCGGTTCGTGAAGGCCTACAAGGTAAACAGGAACATCCTCCTCTTCTCTTCTGTCCTTCCGAACCCCATCTGGTACCTGCGTGGCTCGGGGTGCCCAACAAAACGGCTTGTGGCTCCCTCTTCGTCGGTGCAATGTGAGCCATCCCCGGCAGCACGGCACCGCCAGCCCGGGGCAGCACAAATAGTTGTTCTGGGATTATTTTCAGAGCTTAAAGACGACACGGCTGTCTGAGACGCTGAAGGAATCCTCAGAAATGGAATGTCTGGGCGGCTGCAGCTTACCCCTTTAGCCCTGAACACACGTCTTTCGGGACTAGGAGAGGATGGTTTGTGCGACCTAGGAGGGTCTCTCCCAGCCCAGTTTTTTCGGACCGTGTTCAGAGGCAGCTGAATTGCTACACCTAAGCTTGCTTCCTCGGAAAGCCCCGCGGTGGCAAGCGATAGCGTTACTCATTTGTAATATTTAGGTTCCCTGTAGCAATTGGAAGCTATAACCTGTGCTTTTTTTCTGATAAATAGCAAGCAGAAGAAGAGAATGAGTTGAGAAAAAAGCAGGAACAGGCCTTAATGGAAAAACTTATGGAGCAAGAAGCATTGATGGAGCAACAGGACCAAAAGGTATGAAACAGATACGTCATGTTCAGGAGCCATCATGTTCATGTGTTTTGCCTGATAGTTCAGAAACCTCAGCTCTGTGTAAGATCCTCAGTTGTCCAACTTACAGTCGCCTCTAAATAGAGTCGCTGGAAGTTTTCTCCTTGTGGGGAGAGAACTAAAATAAGCTGAAAGAATACAAGTGGATGGTTCTGCTACTTTGAAGTCTGCAAAATTAAGAAAAACTGAAGAGACGGGAAGTCATCTCGTCCACACTGCCATTAGCTAGATTTTGTTCAGCTCTGGCCTTGTATCTGTTAACACCTCTGTCGTGGCTCAGCCCCAGGCAGCCGCTCAGCACCATGCAGCCGCTCGC